GCAGGTAGCTGGAACTACAGGCGCGCACTACCATGCCCAGCTAATTTCTTGATTTATTGTAGAGATGAGGTGTTGCCAAGTTGCCCAGGTGGGTCTCGAACCCTCAGGCTCAGGCAATCCACTCATCTCGGCCTCCCAAAGCATGGGATTACAGGCTGAGCCACCGAGCCCAACCAACAAAGATATTACTAAACAATAGCAGAAGTTGAAAGTGGGATGAAAGATATCAGACAAAAAGAAAAAAAGAGTACTGCAGAGCTGAAAACCACATTAGAAGGAACTACAATGTAATAAATGTGATTAAAAAAAACAAAATATATTCAGAAACATGGTGGACAGGGCTGAAATGAAAATTCTGACATAGAAAATAACAAAGATACTCAAATTGTTACCGGGAAGAAGCCTTAAATATAGATAATATTGATTCAACACACTATTATAGTGTTCTAAAGAAAGGATATGACAGTGGTCCCCAAAATATCTACCATTAGAATTTAAACTTAAAAATCTACCCCAAACTTTGAAATGAAGTATTGAGTCTGTAGGTTAATGAGTAGACTGTATCCCAGGAAAAATGATTTTAAATGTTTATTTTCAACCATATTTTGGAGCAGTTATTAACATATAGGAGTAAGAAGCGACTCCAAAAAGAACAAAGCAAGATCTTTATAACAGGGAAAAAAATAAAACCAGCATCAAATTTCTTAGCAACATCAATCAATCGATACCAAAAAATGATAGATTAGTATCTATGAAGTTTTATGAAAGCAAATGTAACCTGTTCTGTCATTTCAAGCATGTAAGAGAAAATAGCACCAATGAGCTCCATTTAAAAATATATCTTGATTATAAAACCCAGCTGATAGGAGATTAATTAAAACTATGAACTAAAGATGGGGAAGCCATGATTTAAAAAAAAAAAAAGTAGTGGTAGTGATTGCTAAATGGATTTAAAATAGGCTACGAGATAACCAAGGTAATTATGGTTACAGACTAGAATGCATGCAAAATGTAGAAGTAATATTGCTAATGCGAATGGGCAGGCAAGAGGAGATGGGAGAGTGTCCTTATATTCTCCTTGATAGCATATTTTATTTAAAGTTGAAATGTCAAGTTTAAAAACGTAACACCGCAGTTTTGAAATACAGAGTTAAAACACATAATGATTCAGTATCTTGACTTTGGTCCATGATTCTTTATCTTAAACTTATTTCCCACCTTGGACTGATGGGTTGATGATAACATGGTTAAGAGGAAGAGCAGAGTGAACAAATAGACCAGCAGAAGCCTGCCAGCTCCCTTCCCCCATAAACTGGGGAGATGTTGGGGAAGTGAAAAGGGATTTAAAACGCTAAATTAACACTTCCAAAGACAGGAAGTTAAACTTTAAGAAGTTATTTAAATTATCATGAAAGATATTTTCAGGTTGAAATAAATTTAGGTCTAGTTTGTACAACTCATTGTTCAGGGATAATATTGAATTCTTGTGCTAAGATATTGTAAAGGACACTGGGGGTTTTAGCTTAAAGAAAACTCTTTCCATATATATAAGTTATTTAAATCTATGTGATCTAAGCATGGTTTTCTTATGGTGTACTAGCCTTGGAAAATAATGAAAGACTGCAGAAAAACGGTGGTAGATTAGTAGACATTGCATAATATCCACTATCTGCCACAGGAGTTAAGTACAGATTTACAATCTCTTTCTTATTTTGGAGTGGGATATGATAGGAGTTCACATTCTTAACCCACTCACCAAATTTAAGAAAGGGTCAGCACTTGGCACATCACTTTTAAAAAGTGACCAAATACCTGAGAAAAATACATGATTTCTAATTTCCATTTAGTCTTTTTTTTTTTGAGTTGGACTCTCACTCTGTCGCCCAGACCGGAGTGCAGTGGCCGCTCCCGGCCACCGCAGCCTCGACCTGCTGGGCTCCGGCAATTCTTCCAACTCAGCCTTCCAAGTAGCTGGAACTACAGGCGTGCACTACCACGCCCAGCTAATTTTTTGATTTTATTGTAGAGATGAGGTCTCGCCAAGTTGCCCAGGCAGGTCTCGAACCCGCGGGCTCAGGCAATCCACTCCCCTCAGCCTCCCAAAGCGCAGGATTACAGGCTGAGCCACCAAGCCCGGCCCCACTTAGTTTTTAACAACAAAACAAAAAAAACTACTTTCCCCAGCCAGACAGCTCTAACATTTTATCTAAGCTTATGTGCGTAATAGAAGCAAAAGACATATAGAAACTATGTAAGCTATGCATAAAAAATGTTCAAATATGAAGAAACAAAGGAAAATAATATATAAATATTAAATTATAAGACATACTGTATAAATGTATATTATATATAATATGTGACAAATATAAAATATTGAAAATAATATTTTACAAACAGAGGATGCCAAAAAAAGATACACATTTTAAGACAGGGAAAACCTATTAAAATGATAATAATATATTGATAACAGAAGATAAATATAAGTCACGTTTGACTTCTGCAATTACACATTGCTACCATAATTCAATCAACTTTGAAAAGTAATACATAAATAACATCTTCTTAAAATGTGTATTCATTTTTTGGCACCCTGTGTATTACACATTTATAATAAATATACACATAGTATAAATATAAATTCCTGTTACTCCTTTTATTTGAAATAAAAGGAATCTGATAAATTTCACCTGCCTCAAATGTGAAGACTTAGAGAAAAAAATCACAGAAAAATATTTTTTAGATTTTTTATTTAAATCACTAAAAATAGTGCTGCTCAGAGAGGGAAAAACTTGGAAAACTTATTTGTTTTTCCTTAAAGAGAAGCCTTCATGTGCTTAAGCTTTCTAAAATGAAGCGTTTATTTAAGTGCTTCTTTTCTCAGTGATAATTCTGATCTAGTTAAAAAGTGAGCATGCTACAGGATGCAATGATGTGGCATCTACACCCTGCAGAGCTGTCCAAATACGTTCCCTCAGATTTCAGCAATAATCACAGGTAAGGAAACGAGGACTTTATGTAAAACTCACTTCCTACATTTTACAAAGCCTTCACAGGAGCTGGAGAATCATTTGATGTTTCATTTGGATTGAATTAAGAGATATTAATCTAATAGTTTGCCTATTTTTAGAAGAACTTCGCTTGGGTTCCATCCAGAGACCTTTTCTGAGTCTTCTCTCTTTGGACAGGTGGAAAATTCTGGTGATCCCTGGCTCAAAGGTAGAAATTCACAGAATATATCATATTTTGAGTCCATTTACCTGGTCATGGCAACAACATCCACCGTTGGCTTTGGAGATGTAGTAGCCAAGACATCCTTAGGACGGACCTTCATCATGTTCTTCACCCTGGGGAGTTTGGTGAAGAGTAATTTTAATCTCTTTTAAATATAGTTACATAAATCAGAAAACATTTGGTTAAGATAATCAGTAAAACAATACAGGTTTGAGAGTGGATGTTGTATTATTCAGAACATATGCCAAAGGAGAATGAAAAGATACAGAGTCCATATTTTCCAAATTGCATTGCCTAGAGCACATGATGCAATTGCTTGGTACCTAGGGATAAGGACAGTAGACAAAGTAGGCAGACTTTCCTTATTAGGCTTCACAATGATTTGAGCAATTCTATCTTCCTTCATCTTTTGCCCATTAAAAGAGAAAGGACATCTGAGATTTGATCTGAAAAAAGTTCTGTTCCTTCCAGCCCAAATGAGTAAACTCTCACCAAAATGGCATTTAACTTAAGAGAAGTGAACACCTGTGCTTGACTCAGGAGTGTGGCAAATGCAGAGGAAGCCTCCTTTTTTGTTTGTAACTTTCATTTCAATTATTAAAACCATTGCAGTTATCCTCTCCACCCTCCTAATATCCCCTTGGCCACCATGTTGCATCTCTTTTGCTTGTTGTTATCGCTTAACCTCCCTCTGTCCCATATGCTTTAATTTTTCCAAGCCCCAGAAAGAATAAAATTAGTGTCAGTGAAGAGTTATAAGTGATGAAGGAATGAAATGGAGAGGGAAGTCACCTTGTTGCTTGTCTTTGCTTTCATCATTTTGAATGCAGAAAAGCATTTTGTTAAATTTTAACCAAATCCAAAGACTGAAATCAGGAAGAAAAATGGGGTCCCTTTTCATATGCAGTTCAGCATCATGGCTTCCTAAATGAGAGAATGTTTTATGTCCTTTCTTTCTCTTTCTAATTTTGAAATTTTGGAGTATTCATCAAAATAATAAAACCTAAGGTTTTATTTGCTGATCATTTTAGATTTTATTTGCTGATCATTTTAGATTTTATTTGCGAACTATATCCCTGAAATGGTGGAACTGTTTGCTAACAAGAAGAAATACACCAGTTCCTATGAAATGGCCAAAGGGAAGAAGTAAGTAGCTTTTCAAGTATATTTCCACTGTTTGAGAAATTCTATTAGTCACATAACTCATTCTAGACAACTACTGTCTGAACTAGCTATAGAACCAGAGGTGAATATATTGGCAAGCCCTAAAAAAGATTGTTCTAAAATAAATACTATAAGAAGATGATATTTTATAGCTGACGCAAGCCACTATATAGATGTTTCTAAGAGCAGTAAAACAATGAAAATAATGGATAATGTAATTCACTCTCAATAAGTATGACTGATTATGGTACTATCTCTACATATTTTATCACCAACTATTTTCTCATATCCATTACTAATTATCTTACTCATTTTAACTCATATTAAAGTTATGGTTCACTTTTTTTATTTTTGGAGTTGGAATCTCAGTCTGTTGCCCAGGCATGCTCATGACCACCGCTGTCTCAACCTGCTGGGCTCAGGCGATCCTTCCGCCTCAGTCTTCCAAGTAGCTGGGACTACAGGCATGCGCCAACACTACTGGCTAATTTTTCTTGATTTATCATAAAGATGAGCTCTTGCCAGGTTGCCCAAGCTGGTTGCTATGCCTCACATTTAAAATAATTCAATTCAGCCGGGCTCGGTGGCTCAGTCTGTAATCCCGCGCCTTTGGGAGGCTGAGGTGAGTGGATTGTCTGAGCCCGCGGGTTCGAGACCCGCCTGGGCAGCGAGACCTCATCTCTACAATAAATCAAAAAATCAGCCAGGCGTGGTAGCGCATGCCTGTAATTCCGGCTTCTCGGAAGGCTGAGGTGGAAGAATCGCCGGAGCCCAGCAGGTCGAGGCTGCGGTGGCCGGCAGCGGCCACTGCACTCCAGTCTGGGCGACAGAGTGAGACTCCAACTCAAATAATAATAATAATAATAATAATAATAATAATAATAATAATAATAATTCAATTCAGTTGTCTTAGCCAAAACCTCCCTAAACCATCTGAGGCTCATTTAGGGCAAACATTTGCTAGAGTGAGGAGCAGTTTCTATGCCTTCTTCTATAATCCTTCCTAGATCACTGGTTTTGTCTATGCCACAGCTATGAGTGGAACTGGAACTGGAAAAAAAAATGGAACTGGAGTTGTTTTTATCCTGTTTCTGTGTTTCCTCAGCTTCCTTTATGCCCTTTTTTCATCTAAGAAGAAAAAAATGGATTGGAGATCTTAAACTTGATGTGATTCTTTTAAAATGTAGTCCCCATCTGCTGTAGATAAAAGAGGCACAGTGGAGATAAACTCCCTTGGAATGGCCTCTTAGCGCAGTTGGATAAAAACCATGAGTGACCTAGGAGTATGAAGAGGAAAGGAAAAATATGATGAAAGGAATAAAAAATAAAAAATGAAAAACAGCAAAATAAATAAGCCAAAGTCTGACCCTATTTATCTCAGGAAAGGCATATGGTACAAATATTAAATCAGCCAATAAGAACTGGAAAATATAAGGTTAACTTAGGCTAAAATTATGTTTTCAGTTTTCTTAAATGAGTAATGTGAGGAAATGGCTTATTTAAATACATTAGGCCCAAGAAAATTTTTTATCACAAAAACTATTTACATAGATGTTTGCACCTGTTGTAGATGTCTCTCCATTGGACTCATTTTTTTGTAACCACTATATAATTTTAAATGTGGAAACTAAATTGAAACAACCTAGATTGTAGTGCTTCCATAACCACAGGAATCAGCTACAGGAAAATTGATGAACCATTTTGAGCTTCAGATCCTCAATGAAAAGATGATATCAGCCAGTCAAGAATCAAGTGATAAATTGAGTGAAAAGTCTATTATAAGCTATAAATAACTATGAAAAATCTAACAATAAATAGTTATTGTTGTATTCTTAAAGAGCTACATATAATTCAAGTGTTTGGTGTCATATTCTACGGGAGATGATTTAGAAGATTATAGAAATCTGATGCTTTTTTTGTACATTGGATATGCAGTCCTTAGAGTTTCTATGTTCAAAATCCAGGTAATTCAAATATTAAACTTATTTAAAACAAAGTTTAAGCTAACTGTCCATCTCTAACTCTTGATGAAAAGATGCTTATGTTCCTCACATGTTCTTGTTGCCTAGGTTCATTGTTGTCTGTGGAAACATCACTGTGGACAGTGTGACTGCTTTCCTGAGGAATTTTCTCCGGCACAAGTCAGGTGAAATCAACACTGAGATTGTTTTCCTGGGAGAGTAAGTGGATCTGTATGGTTCATGAGTTCTAAATTAATATTTAAAATACGTGCGAATATCTTTAATGGAAGAAAATCATCCTTCTAATATTTGTAGAAAATTTAAAGAAATAATAGTAAACAAACAAACAAACAAAGAAAAGGAATATCATGACCAACATTAGCCTCTGCAAATATTTTGGAATATATTTTGCCAGATTTTTTTCTGCATATGTACTAATATTATCTAAGTAAGTCTCTATTACTTGGCATTTAGGTTACTCTAACTTAAACTCTTATCATACATGACCATAATTTTGTGCAAAAGTCTAGTGCACTTTACAATTATAATTATGTTAATTTTCAGGATGGGAAATGTGAAGTTCTAATCGACGCAGAAAAACAAATGGTTCTTGACTGGCATATTTGTTCTAGGCAGTTTACCTTTCCATTAGCAGAGTGCAAGTCAAATATTTTGTCAAACACTGGGAAATACATATTTAATACAAAAAAGTGTAGTTTAAATATACAAAACAATTTCTTACTGTTTTAGTTTTTAATTTTCAATCTTGGCTGTTAGTGACACCGAAAATTTTTGTTTTGATTTTTCACCTTTTTTGAAATTACTCTTTCTGTTACTTTATTGACCTTTAAGCACTCAATATATTTTGATATTAGCCCTTTGTATCATGTGTTATGTATATTTTTCCTGTTGTTTTTACTTTTTAGTTTTGTTTGTGCTTTTATTTTAACACAGAAGTTTTTGACTTGCATGTACTCTAATCCGTCAACGTGTTTATTTAACTCCTTGCTTTTCTGACACTTTTAGGCCTTTCTCTTCTAGAATTGACTACCTTTTTATTTTTATTAATATATTGTCATTTTAGATATTTGAGTTCCTTGAAATGGATTTTGGGTGATGTGTAGAGAATTAACTTCTCTATTTTTCTCAAATGATTAGTCAGCTATCCAAAATATTATGATTTCCTAAATAAGTCAGCCAGATTTAAAATGACATTTTCATTGTATAGAGGATTGTGTATGGGATCACCTCAACCTTTGTGCACTTTATAGTTGAGCACCCTGTATTTTTAAATTATGACATGTCTAATTTGCGATAAGTTTGGGCTCTCACATATGCGAAAATCAATACCAGTTTGAACTGCTTTATGATGCTATTGATGGACAACCAACAGTTCTGTTTTAGTATCATAGCCATGCCTGTCTTTTTGGCAATCTGTGCATTATTTAAGATATTTTAAAGAAAATAATACAAACAAATAAAAAACAGAAGTGCTAGCACTAATGATAAGAATCTAATTGTTATAATCCAGTTGAGACAAAGAAGAGGTCATTAGACATATGGAAAATGACATATTTTATCCACTGCTCCATTTTTATGGACTAATGTGCATTATTCCATGTACTTGTCAAAATAATGAATTTTGCACATTTTAAAAATAGTACTGAATTTTGGTATCTAGCATTTTGACAAAATCTAGAATTTTGTCAGTTACATTTATACACAGATGACTCCAAAATTTACATTGTCCACCAGACATTCCCATGGCTCCATATTTACACAACGAATTTACCTACTGATTATTTGTATCCTAGTATTACGAAGAACCGTCATACTCAACATTTTCACGGTCTTGTATTACCCTTTTCATCTCTCAAAGCAAGCAAACAAAAATTCAAGCAAGAAGGCAAGCAACATTTTCTATTTCGGCAAATGAGTCCTGATCTGTGCAATTTCTTTAATTTTTTTTTTAAATTTTTAGTTTTAAAGATGTGGGTTACAATCAGGGTTAGGTATACAAATGTTCATTATGCAGGTACCCTTGTGGATGAGGTGTCCCCCTCCTCCCCTAGTAGTTTCCCACCACTGCCAGTCCCTTTCTTATAGTATTATGATAATTGTTCAAGGTCCACTTATGAGTGAGAACATGTGGTACTTAGTTCTTTGTTTCTGTGATAGATCACTCAGTATTATAGACTCTAAGTCCATCCAAGTTGCTGCTAGTTCATACAACTAAGTATTGTCTTTGACATGCCTGCCTACACAACCCCTATACACTTTCATCAACACCATTAACTTTGTCTCCTAATAAAGACCTAAAAAAAAATTCTAATTCTACTTCTACCATTTTATCTCCTCTATGCCAAGCCTATTCAGAGTTAAGTGCCGTTTCTCCCAGATTAGTATAAAAATGTCAGCTGGTGTGGTGTTTCTGTTCTGAAGCTCTTCTCTTCCCTTTACATGACCAATTTATTCTCTATCTTCAGCACTCAGAGAGACCTTTCCTATTCATTCTACCTAAATTGATGTCTTTTAATTTCCTCTTGTCTCATTACTCCATTTTTTCCCTTTAAATCAATTGTCACAATCTAGAATTGTAGTAGATGTTTCTTTAATAAATCTGCTAATATTTCCTTCTTTTATTACACTTTCATGCTACCTCTCCCATTTAAAGTTGGAGTCTCTTTCTTCTCCCTTTGAATCTGGCTGGCCTGTGACTTGATAGATAGAATACAGAAAATGTGACACTTCGTTACCTCAGGCCTAGCTTTTTTTTGTTTTTTTTTGAGTTGGAGTCTGACTCCATTGCCCAGGCTGGAGTGCAGTGGCACACTCACTGCCACCCCAGCATTGACTTGCTAGGCTCTGGCAATCCTTCCACCTCAGCCTTCCAAGTAGCAGGAACTACAGGCACGCACTACTATGCCTGGCTAATTTTTTATTTATTGTAGAGTTGCCTGGGCTAATCTCAAACCTGTGGGCTCAGGCTATCCACTTGCCTCGGTCTCCCAAAGTGCTGGGATTACAGACTGAGCCACCGAACCCGGCCAGACCTAGCTTTTAAGACAATCATGTTTCAACTATTACCTGGAGCCCTGCGCCATCATGTAAAAGTCAAACTACCTTGCTGAAGAGAAGGCCCAGTCAGCTTTCAGCTACCCTAGTCTCATAACCAAAACAATAATCATGTATGTAAAGCCATTTTGGACATTCCAATTTCCAGTCTAGCTCCTGGACAAATGTACGCACATCGATGCCCCCAGTTAATGCTACATGGAGAAGAAAAATCACCTGGATGTGACAGTCAAGCCACGTCATCACAAAAATAATATATTATTGTTGTTCTAGATCAGTGAGTTCTAGAATGACTTGTTTTGCAGAAATGAATAATTGATTTTAAAAAAGTACTAGAAATGTCGTGCTGTCATACCAAAAGCTAGCATGTGGGCTTTTCCTCGGAACTGGTGGTAGTCAGAGACTGGAAGGGTTGCATGAAAGCTTGGTATAGACTTGAAAACCAATGAAGAAATTGATATTGGGTAGTAGAGAAAGAAGAGCCTAGGTTATTATGTCAGAATTTTGGTAACGCTATCACCAGCAATAACAAAAGATGGAAAATGTACCTAATGGAATTGTGAAACTGGCTAAGAAGATTTCCCAAAAGAAAATTGAATGTTATTTATTTTAGTTTATTATTATTTTTCTGAGTAATTAATTAACAGGGATTTATACGAAAATTGGGGTAAAGATAAATTATTTAGTCTTTCAAGCAGAACTTAGAAGAAACATAGAAGGCCCAGTCTCTCTAGTTGATCAAAAAATGTCAAAAAGGAAAATGACTTTAGGGGAAAAATTAAATCCAAGGTGCAGCCTTTTACATATGTCCTCAGGGTCAAGATTCAGTCAAAGATGAAGCTGTAGGACCCTTTGTTAAGACTTAAGAAAGATTTAAGGTGATGACTTATAGATTTTCTCAATTCGGCAAAGGGACTTCAAAGAAGCTTAACAACATTCTTTCCAGAAGCCTGGCATTCACAAAATAAAGAAAGATCTGTCTCCAAGAAATCATGGATATAACTTTTGGGGCATCACATGAACCTAAATAAGATTTATAGAAAAATCTCAATGCTTTCAACAAAATTTTGCTAGTAACCACCCTGCCAGCTTGATGTAAAAGGGACAGAGACAGTTGAAAATAAAAAATAAATAAATAAAATAAAATAAAATTTATCTGAACTCCTAATCTAGCCCTGGAAGGAATCAGGCAGAGAAAGCTACTCAAGTATGAATATAATCATTTTATTAGAGAAAAGGAAGGATGATGACTCAGAATCAGAAAGCAGAGCTAAAAATCAAAAACAATAGATTAACTCACGAGGACAAAACTAGGCCATAATCAGAAGACATTCTCTGCCCTACTAATATGTGCTCAAATAGATTTCAGAATTTCTACGAATCAGTGATTCCCCTGTGCCCTTCATTACCACACCCACCTCTTTTAATTGGAAGTGTTTATTGCAATTTTTTTTATCCCTGTTACTATCATCATGATATGTTGACTGATGAGGTAGGAATAAGCGGCTTGTCTATTCAGTTGTCAGATCTTCTGATCAGGACAACCTGTGCCCAAGGAGCCCCATGCAGGTCTAGACATGATTTAGATGACAAGATCCAGGAATTTGAACTGATGCTATAAAATGATGATACTTTGGGGTGTGTGTGTGTGAAAGTATTTTGTACAGGGGAGGAATGTGAATTCTTGGGGTCAGGAGGCAGACTATGGTAGATTGCTTTTAAAGATGGCTGTTCGAAATTCCTCTTCGTACATACTGACAGTCCCTGATTTACAATGGTGTGACCTACAATTTTTTGACTTTATGATGGTGCAAAAGCTATATGCATTCAGCAGAAACCGTACTGGAGTACCCATATGACTATTTGGTTTTTCACTTTCAGTACAGTATTGATAAATTATATTATATATTCAATACTTTATTATAAAATTGGTTTTGTTAGATATTTTGCCCAACTGTAGGCTAACATGAGGGTTCTGAGTATGTCTGAAGTAGGCTGGGCTAAGCTATGATGTTTGGTAGGTTAGTTGTATTAAATGCACTTTTTCACTAGTGATGTTTTTATCAGGATATAACCACATCATAATATGAGGAACAATTGTATTCTGCTTCTCCCTCCAAAAATTGAATCTATTCTCCCTTCTA